TCTTTCCTTTCTTTCTTTCTTTTAGCAAAGGTGATTTTGTCCTAAAGGTCATATATCTCTGTTTCTTCAGAATTGGTCTCTGGTGCCTTATTTAGTTAATTTGGTGGGGCCATTTTCCTGGCTGGTCTTGATGCTTGTAGATGTTCATCAGTGTCCAGGCATTGAAGAGTTAGATTATTTATTGCAGTCTTCACAGTCTGGACTTTGCAATCTTTGTTCTTCTTGGGAAGGCGTCCAAGGAATTAGAAAGGACTTGGACCCCAAGCCCAGTAATGGTGTGGTTCTTACAGGCTTGTAAAGGTACTATCTTAGTGGTCTTGTATAAGATCTGGAAAAATGCTCTGGATTACGAGATAGATATTCTTGTTCTCCTTCCTTACATTCTCCCAGACAAATGCCATCTTTCTCTCTCTCTGTGCTGAGCCATCTGGAACTTTGGGTGAGATGATGCAAGCACCCCTGTATCAACACTGGAACTGCCCTGGGTCAGACCTGAAGCCAGCACAGCACTAGGTCTTACCCAAGGCCCTCTGTAACCACTGCCTGGCTACCACCTTGCTTGCTCAAGGCCTCAGGGCTCTGCAATCAGAAGGTGGAGAAGCCAGCCATTTGCGTCTCTCCCTTCATGGTGGCAAGTTCTCCCAGGCCCTATGTGGGTCCAGAGATGCTGTCTTGGAGCCAGGGATTAGAATCTAAGTCCTTAGAAATCTACCTGATGTTTTATTCTATGGCATCTAAGCTTGTATCAAACTATAAGAAAAAGTCCCTCCCACTCTTCCCTCCTTATTCCACAGGCAGAGGAGTCTTTCCCTGTGGCCACCACCACTGGCTCACACAAAGTTCTGCAAGGCCACCTCCAATGTGTACTTAAAGCCCAAGGATTCTTCAGTCAGCTTATGGTGAATGCTACCAGACCTAAGACTCATCCTTCAGGGCAGTGGACTCCTCTCTGGCCCAGAGCAGGTACTGAAATACTGTCCAAGAGCCTAGTCCTGGAATCAGGGACCCCAAGAGTATACTTGGTGCTCTTTTCCACTGTGGTCAAGCTGGTACCTGATGCCAGCACATCTCAGTCTCACCCAAGGTCAATGGCATATTATCTGATTATCACTGTTGGTTATTCAGGGCCCAAGGTCTCTTTAGTCAGCAGGTGATGAATCGTGTCAGGACTGGGTACTTCCCTTCAAGGCAGTGGGTTCTCTTCTTACCTAGGATGTGTCTATAAATGTTGTCCAGGACCTACGGCCTGGGATTGGGGCCTCAAAACTCTGCCTGGTGCTCTGTCCTACTATGGCTGAGCTGATGTCCAATATGCAAGACAAAGTCCTCTTTTCTGTTTTCAAGCAGAAGGAATGAGTCACTTTTGTTACTGAAAGCTACAGTGCCTAGGATTAAGGGAGAGGTGCTGGAAGCACTCCCCTAGCCACCCTGTCTGTTGTCACACTAGGTCATGTGCTGCTCCTGTCCACTGGCACTAAGCCGAGGACATCATGGGGACTTGCCTAAGAATTGCAGTTTTTGTTTCCTACACTGCTTTCAAGTTCACTTAGCACTCCAGAGCACATTAGCCTGCTGTGGCAAGACTTGCTGAAAGTCAATTCCCAGTCACTGAGATGGACTCTTCCCCTCAAGCAAGGGCCTTTCCAAATGCTCCCTTTGTGGGTGGCCACTGGCTGAGTTCAACATGATTCTATTTTCTGCTGTGACAGGGTAGGACTCAGTACAATGCAAAGTCCCCCAGTCACTGTAGTGCTCTCTTTTCCCTAAGTGCACAAATTCTGTTTCCATTCCATGCAGCCAAACCAATGAGGGGATGGTGTCTGTGATTCAAGACCATCTTTCCTAACCACTCCAGTGCATCTTTCAGCAATATGAGGTTAAAACTAGGTACTGTGATTGTTCCCCTGATTTTTGGTTCTTGTGAAGGTGCTTTTTGTGTGTGTGTGAAGATGGTTTTTAGAATTTGGTGTTCCTGTATAGTGTGGGGATAATTAGTGGAATATTTTATTCTACCATCTTGCTCTGCCCCTTGAATTCCTTTTTAAAAATTCTTACAGCCTGTTCAACTAAACGTGGTTGATCTGATGATTTACTGATACTTAAAAAACCAACCCAAAATGTAATGTCTTAAAACAACAGTAATTTTATCATCTTTTTCATAATTCTTTAGGCTGACTGGGATCAGCTGTGTAGTTCTGCTCCAAGTGATATCAGTTGGGACTGCATTAACCCAGGGCTTGACTGAGCTGGAACATGCAGGATGTCTCACTCAAACAGCTTGAAGTTGGTGCCAGCTCTTGGCTAGGAATTCAACTGGAACTATTAATTTGAAGTTTGTTTTTCTTCCATGTGGTCATTCCATGTGGCTTGGGCTTCTTATAGCAAGGCTTCTGGATTTTAAGAGGCAGAGAGGAAAAGTTACCAGTCTGTGATAATAAATATTGTCAACTTGATTGGATTGAAGGATGCAAAGTATAGTTCCTGGGTGTAACTGTGAGGGTGTTGCCAAGAGAGATTAACATTTGAGTCCGTGGGACTGGGAGAGGCAGACCCATCCTCATTATGGGTGGACACCATCTAATCAGCTGCCAGTTCCGCTAGGATAAAAATAGAAAATGGAAAAGTAGAAAGACTAGACTGGCTAAGTCTTCTGGCCTCCATCTTTCTCTTTTGCTGGATGCTTTCTGCCCTTGAACATCAGACTCCAGGTTCTTCAGCTTTTGGGCTCTTGGACTTACACCAGTGATTTATCAGGGACTCTCTGGCCTTTGGCAACAGACTGAAGGCTGCACTATGAGCTTCCCTACTTTTAAGGTTTTGGGACTTGAACTGGCTTCCTGGCGCCTCAGCTTGTTGACAGCTTATTGTGAGACTTCACCCTGTCATCATGCGAGTCAATTCTAATAAGCTCCCCTTCATACATACATTTATCCTATTATTCTGTCCCTCTAGAGAACCTTCACTAATACACAGTCCCTTTACGTTTTGGGCTAAGAATACCCAGAGTATCATGTTTACTGAATTCTCTTAGCATGTAGGAGTCTACTATAACATTTCTTATATAGAATAAAAAGTTACTATTTTTATTGGTGAAAAATTGTTTCTGACACTAATTATATTAATTCCCAAAGCTTCTTGTAGATCTGATATGTCAATAGCTGAAGCACTTACAGTAGTCATATCTGAAATGTACCTTTCTTAATTAGAATGCTAGATAACCAGTCCTGTTCTGTTAATTTATGATTAATTTAACAAGCGTTTTCTGCCTTAGGTATAGCTTAGACTAACACATAGATAATATCACACTGTCTATATTAAAGTATATTATAAGTAAATTACACACATTATAACATAATTCTAATCAAGAAAAAATGAGAGTAAGCAAAATCACACAAAATTGAAAATGAAAAGCAAATAATTTATAGAGAGTAAGGAAATTGGGGAAAAAACAAGATAACAAGCCTTATATTATGCAAATACACTTATAACCTGGAAAATATTGATTATTTTAAAAAAGAAAATATAAATGATCAAAATTGACATTAGTAAAAGAAAACAGAAGCAGCACAGAAAATTCTGACAAAATTATTGGAAAACTATCTTCTAAAATTAAAAAATTAAAATGACAAAGTAGTCTTACATATTTTACTGGTTAATTATTTCATAACTTTAAAAAGCACATTTTCTGATGTGATTTGTAGATCAGGAGCATGGAGAAATAAGACAAACACCAAAATTCTTTATTTTTTGGAAGATAATACATTTGACACAAGTAGTATGAAAAACAATACTTACACATTCAATTTATTAATCTTGATAAAAAAAAATCCTAAATTAAAATATGAACTATAGGATTCAGTTGTAAATTAAAAGAATAATATGACATAACTAAGCAAAGTTCTTTATAAGAAGGTGAGGATGACATTAAAAATAATTAACATATTAATTAAAAGCAAAACAGAGAAGTAAAACCTAGTCATCATTTAGAACAGTGCCAGTCCCTGGTTAGTCATATGCAAAAAATTGAAACTGGATCTCTTCCTTACTCCTTATACAAAAATTAACTCAAGATGGATTAAAGAATTAAATGTAAAACACAAAACTATAAAAACTCCAGGAGAAAGTCAAGGCAATACAATTTAGGACATAGGCACAACCAAAGTTTTATTGATGAGAACATCAAAAGCAATTACAATAAAAGCAAAAATCGACAAATGGGATCTAATTAAAGAGCTACTGCACAGCAAAGAAACTATCAACAGAATAAACAATGTACAGAATGGGAGAAATTTCTGCATTGAACCCACCTGACAAAGATCTAATATCTAGCCTATAAGAAATCTAAGCAAATGGATACAAAAAAAAACAACTTATTAAAAAGTGGGCAAAGAACATGAACAGACACGTCTCAAAAGAGTGGAGAAAAAGAAATACTTTTACACTGTTGAGAGTGTAAATTATTTCAACCATTGTGAACAACAGTGGTTTGGAGAAAAACTTTTATACTGTTGATGAGAGTGTAAATTAGTTCAACCATTGTGGAAAACAGTGTGGCAATTCCTCAAAGCCCTGGAGGCAAGCCAGGCATGGTGGATCATGCCTGCAATCCCAGCACTTTGAGAGTCAGAGGCTGGTGGATCACCTGAGGTCAGGGGTTTGAGACCAGCCTGGCCAACATCATGAAACCCTGTCTTTACTAAAAATACAAAAATTAGCTGGGTGTGGTGGTGCATGCTTGTAGTCTCAGATACTCAGAAGGCTGAGGTAGGAGGATTGCTTGAACCTGGATGGCAGAGGTTGCAGTGAGCCAAGATCACACCACTGCACTCCAGCCTGGGTGAGAAGGTGAGACTCAAAATTAAACAAACAAAAAAAGACCTAGAGGCAGAAATATCATTTGACCCAGCAATCTCATTACTGAGTATATACCCAAAGGAATATAAATAATTATGTTATAAAGATACATGCACACATATGTTCATTGCAGCACTATTCACAATAGCAAAGACATGGAATCAACTTAAATGTCCATCAATGATTGACTAGATAAAGAAAATGTCATGCATATACACCATGGCATCCTATGTAATCATAAAAAGAATTAGATCATGTTTTTGCAGGGACATGGATGGATTTAGAAGCCATTGTCCTCAGTGAACTAATGCAGGAACAGAAAACGAAACACTGCATGTTCTCACTTACAAGTAGGAGATGTATTATGAGAACACATGGACACATGGGGGAGAACAACACACACTGGGGGCTGCTGGAGGGGGTATTGGGGTAGATAGAGCATCAGGAAGAGTAGCTAATGGACTCTGGGCTTAACACTTAGGTGATGGGATTATCTGTGCAGCAAACCACCATGGCACACATTTACCTATGTAACAAACCTGCACATCCTGCACATGTACCCCTGAACTTAAATGCTGAAAAAAAAAAAAAAAAGCAATGCCAGTCTCATGTTTAATATGAAACACTGGAAACATTCTTCTTAAATTTCAGAACAAAGCAATGATGTTTATGATCACTTTTAACCTTGATGTGGAAGAACTGTCTAATTTTACTGGATAAGGAAAAGAATAGATGTTAACAGTAGTAAAGAGGAAGCAATGGTTTTATTTGTCGCTGACAAAACCAAAGAGAATTAACTACAAACGATTTAAAATAATAAGAATATTAAGTATATGACTACTTTTAAAATTAATATATGGAAAAATTACTTGTCTATAAACAAACATAGTTTACACTTGGAGAAGTGAACCTTCCAGTTTTTAGTGACTGAAACTGCCTTCTTGGCCAGGTGTAGTGGCTTATGCCTGTAATCCCAGCACTTTGGGAGGCCAAGGTGGGCCAATCACTTGAGGTCAGGAGTTGGAGACCAGTCTGGCCAATATGGTAAAACCCTGTCTTAGCTACTCGGGAGGCTGAGGTAGGAAAATTGCTTGAACCCGGGAGGTGAAGGTTGCAGTGAACCAAAATCATGCCTCTGCACTCCAGCTTGGACAACAGAGCAATACTCTGTCTCAAAAAAAAAGAAAAAAAAAGAAAGAAAGAAAGAAAAAGAAACAAACTGTTTTCTGCTTCTTGGCCTGGGAGGGTGGAATGGAGACATTTTGGAATATGCCTTCTTTGCCTCTTATCTAAACATTCAAGAGGATCTTCTTGGTTGCACAAATTAAAGCAAGAATCCCTTACCTTTGAGGAAGACTGCAGCATGAATCTTTGTGGCCTAGCAAAGGTGTCTGTAAATGCTGCTCCATATCAAGAACTGGTCAATGGTAAGAAACAGTGCATTTGCACAGGAGTCAGGTAATCTCATGGGAGGACTCCAGCTATCTTGAGAACCACCCTTCCAAATCATTTTCTTTTGAAGGCACCTCCCTGAAGTCTACAATCCCCACCACCTCAGCCTCCCAAAGTGCTGGGATTACAGGCGTGAGCCACCGTGCCCACCAAACCCAAGCTCTTTTGATTTAGATATATTAGTGCCTCTTTGATGGAGTTGGATTGTTGTGAATTACTGCAGAAAATGACACTCCAGCCCAACATGAGTACACCTTTTGAGAAAAGAGTAAGGACCAGAGATCAGGGTATGATACCAATGTTTAGACTGTAAGCTCAAAAAGAAAGGCTGGTTTCAGTACAACCCCTGCTGAGACTAAAGACCCTATGATAACCCAGTCATCAGGTAACAGTGGCCCTGCTTTGAGATAAACAACTAAGGCTGTGAATGTTGATGCAAACTTGGAGCTCAATCTTGGGATCAGCACTTACAGGCTGAGCAGGTATCAGATTACTAGGAAGACACACATCAATAGGACCAGCTTTCAACAAAAGTGCCAAAGCAATGGCAGCAGGGGGCTGATTGTACTCTCCAACTTCCCTCCACTTGGCATCTGAAAGGAAAACAGACCCCTAAGTAAACTGCCTGGATTCTTAGACATTTCAATGGGGAAGCATCAAGAGAGAGATGCAATACTAACTGCCAAATTGGACAACAAGCGCTCAATGATTAGCTTGAAAAATAAGAATTGCGAATTATATTTTTATCCTAAGCGTCTGGTCCTACTGGCTATATAAACAATAACCAGTGAATCCTGCTACATTCAATCAATGGGATATTTATTACAAAGGTGAGGTAAAAGAATAAGGTAGTTTTTGAAGTACAAATCTGGAGGAAATGAGAAGGATATATCAAAGAAGCAAATAAATACATTTTTAGGATGATTCCATTTGTGAAAAGTCTCACCTCATCCCCTTGTATGCACATGTGCTCGCGTGTGCACGCACACACACACACACACACAAACACAAACACACATTTGCTTATTAATAGGATATATGAATATATTTATTTTTCCAAACTGTTTCCCATGGTTATTTCCTAAGGAACAAAAATAAAAGAGCAAATAGGAATTTTATTTTTTAATCATCTATATTTCTAGGCTATTTGTATTCCTGAATAATAGCATGTATTATTTTTATAATGCAATAAATATATATTATTAAATATAAATATATTTTATGTATAAAACAGATATTTAAAGATGCATATTTATTTAAAGATATATATATATGTGTATTTTGAAGATATATATTTAAAGATGAGAATGGTCAGGAATGGCAAGTGTTGTACAACTATTATGGAAGCTTAGTAATACAAAGCTTTCATTATATTTTGCAGAATAAAGGTCTTATTAAAGGTTATGGTCTCCTAGTAGAAAAATACACTCAGTTTAACTATTGTGACTGTGCTTATCAGAATTTAATGGGTATTTATTCATTTAATTCAACAAATAAAGGATTTATAAATACTAAAATTATTGAATTGCATACGTGTCCAATATTATTTAGAGAGAAATAACTCTACGAGATTTCAGAAAGAAAGGTTCATGCTTACTTTAAAGATTATTTCAGATCATGGAGGAGCATGTCCAAGTGAATTTGATGGGTTTTCTTAATAATTAGGGTAGCCAACAAAGAGGTTGACAGAATAGACCTTTGAGGAGAAGTAATTCTGATAGTCAATTAACAGTGGCTTGAATCCTTTTAGATCCTGTGAAATAAGTACAGCAAAAATCCTGTCCCAATAGTTGATAGTGCTTTGAGATGTAAAGAGCATTAAAGATTGTTGTTGACTATGTTTTTTGTGGCAATGGGAAGAATTTTAAGCAAATGAAATTGTGCTTAGGTATTTAATTTCCTTTGAGTCAGAAGTCACAAGTCAGACTTCCCACTAAGAATCAGTCTTTGTAGGAAGACTGATTGCTTTCACCTAAGACCTTTAGTCCTGGTAGATCGCATTAAGAGATGTAGATACAGCAGATTCTTGTTATTCATGGTAATGTTCATAAAGTTGTTATGGACACTGAATTAGAGAATCATGAATCATTGCTCCTTGGGGAAATATGAGGTCATGTTTCCGCAAGCCTCTGGCCAAGTTTTAGTCAACTGATCAATACAAACCTGGTTTCATGTTTAAAGACACCTTATTTAATATATATTGTTGATTTACTTAGATTGAAATCATGATCGATAGCACTATAATTCATGCCTCAATGAAGCTTAACTAATGTTAAGCTTGCCACCATAAAAATACAGAAACATGAATCTCTAAGTACAAATATTTTATTTGTGAATAATATACGAGAAATGGGATTGCAGTCCAGGACAGAGATCTAGACCAGGATGGCCTCTGGTATGTCTGGAGAACAAAGGAAAAGGTGAGGGTTTTATAGGGGAAAGAGCAGTTTGTGCAAATTATTTCGAAAGAAATTTAGTTGGCCCTGAAAACGTCTTACAAGAGCTGGTGAGTTGTGAGTGGTGGGTTTCAGCAGTTGGTAAGCAGGAGAGGTAATCTTGTAGTTATGGCTAGGTTCCTGCAGTTTGTGAATGGGCTTGCGAGATGTTTATTAGGCAAGTGTTCTTGTATAAGTGGCTGGCTGTTCTTATGCTACTAGCTGTCCTAGCCGACTCAGTAAGCTGTAGTTTGAAAACATTTCTTGTGATAGTTTCTGTTATTAGGCAAATTATACATTAGAGCCTTCCCTTCATGGCCTTACTCAGGTTCATTTGCCAGGGTTTGACACAATGACTCCATTTTGAATCTCACAACTTTCACTTATTATTTTCGCCTTAATGCACATCATACCCTTCTTGAGTTTAGGAACGCTAGGCAGCACTTCGTCACTATATTTGGGAGCCTTTCAAAACAGTGAAGTCACCAACACAAAGCACAAAAATGCAAATACATGGAACGAAATATATCAAAAAAAGAACATTTGTTTGTGGGCTAAAACAAGAAGGCAGAGTGTTGCCCTGTAGGACCTTAGCAAGGAACAAACACATTGGGCAACTCTCACTGTACTCTGCATCGCTGTGAATGACCTCAGAAGCACCGAGGCTATTGGTTTGGGGGTTACAAATAAATGTGAACGAGAAGGTATATTTGCAAATATAAAATCTACATACACTGAAGATAGACTGTGTCTTCCAACTAAGGTCTATGGAACAAAATCCAGATAATGGAAATCCATGCTGTCATAATTTTGTCTGAAAATTTAGGAATTTATTTTCCTGTTTTCTTTCCTTTTTCACATTAACTTTAGTCATATTCTCTATATGGTCCCTATTCTTAATATTGCTTTTTTGTATCCTTAGTCATTCTGTGCTATGAGTCCAACACCTGGCTACGTTTTAATTATAATTTGATTTAAAAAACATTAAACCAACATTTGGGTTTGTATACATTTTTTTTGAGAACCACATATCTTCTTTTTCTTCATACCATTTTATTGGAATGAATCTGTTGGTTTCCTGAATAACTGGTGAGCTTTTAGATGGAATATATCATATAGCCAAAAATATAAAATTTAGGAATGCAAAATTTTTATACCTAGGAATAGAAGTTCCAGTCTCTACTAAGAATATGGGGGCCTTTCATGGGAGATAGCTTTTGCAACTGAACTTCCACAAATATGGAACTTGGACAAGGACTAGGAAATAGAAGGTACCTATTCAGAGGCTGCTAACCTCTGGACACCTCCCAAGTCAGCCGTCCTGGTTAAACTCAACTCCAAGCTATTTAGATTTAGATTTACCCAAACATCTCTTTACTATAAATTTTATGCAAAATTAATTTGCTGTGAAATAAATCATTAGTTGATCTTAGATGGCTATTATTTGACTATAGTCAATTGACAAATGTCAATTGACTATAACTTGAAAAAAATAGATGAATTTGTCACCTAAGTAAACTGAATGCCTGCCTTAAGGATTGTGCCTGGTATCATCCAGACTTCATTCAGATTCATCAGTTTTCCTTTACTTAATAAGAGAAAATTATCTTCTTTTTTTAGAATGTTGATTATTAAAAAATCAGAAGACAACAGATGCTGGAGAGGATGTGGAAAAATAGGAACACTTTTATGCTGTAGGTGGGAATGAGTAGTTCAACCATTCTGGAAGACAGTGTGGTGATTCCTCAAGGATTTAGAAATAGAAATTCCACTTGACCCAGCAATCCCATTTCTGGGTATATACCCAAAGGATTACAATCATTCTATTATAGAGACACATACACACATATGTTTATTTTGGCACTGTTTACAATAGCAAAGACTTGGAACCAACCCAAATGCCCATCAATGATAGAATGGATAAAGAAAATGTGGCACATATACACCATGGAATACTATGAAGCCATAAAAAAGGATGAGTTCATGTCCTTTGCAGGGACATGGATGAAACTGGAAACCATCATTCTCAGCAAACTGACACAAGAACAGAAAACCAAATACCAGATGTTCTCACTCATATGTGGGAGTTGAACAATGAGAACACATAGACACAGGAAGAAGAACATCACACACTGAGGTCTGTTGGGGAATCAGGGAGCTAGGGGAAGGATAGCAGGGGGTGGGGCAATTGCAGAGGGATGACGTTAGGAGAAATACCTATTGTAGTTTAAGGTGGGGTGATGGATGCAGTAAACCACCATGGCATGTGTATACTTATGTTACAAACCTGCACGACCTGCATATGTACCCCAGAACTTAAAGTGTAATGAAAAAAATAAAAAACCAAAAATAACCCCAAAAAACTCCTAGGCCTTGATCTGAGGATTGAAACTTTAATCACTCAAAGAGAATTTTGTATAGCTTTGTTCTTTCCTCAAGCATCTTCACTTCATCCTTCGTAAGTGTCCTAGAAAGCAGTGGACTCTTACCTGCCAATATGCAAAAAATAGCTGGGAACAAGAAAATGACACCTAGACTCTAGAACTCCTGGCTAGATAGGTCCAGAAATTGGACAGATGGTAGTTTAGAACAGATCTCTTAGGATATAATTTGGACTCTCTTGGGGGAACATATGCTATTTTAAAGGAAGAATGCTTTGCTTATTTCTCATTAAATCTCTTTGGGATCTTTAGGACAGGCATACCTCATTTTATTGCTCTTCACTTTATTGCACTCTGCAGATATATTTTGGTTCAATTTTTAGCCTTTTGTAATTTATTCTTCATTATTAATTGTCTGTGATGCTAACTCTCCAACTATGCTCTGAGCTCCTAAAAGGAAATGATAAAACTTCCACTCTCTGTGCCTGAAAGAGTACATGGTACAGAATTATGGCTTAGAAAATGTAATTTCACTTGAATGACTGCATTGATCCATTTTCTAGAAGAAACTTAAGGAACCATTCAAATGTGTAAAGGTTATTCTCTAGTTATGTAACATGAGCTCTAGCTATACAAAAGAACATTTTTATATGACAACCGTATAGGAAGAAGTTCCTGCAGAGTAATCGTATTCTAGTTAAGAAAACAAAGGCAATTGAAAGAGAAGATGTTCAGAAGGAAAAATGAATCAGTATGGTTCCGACAGTTGGTCCCATCAAGCTAATCAAATCCAAGAATCCCTAGACAATCACCTAACAGACCAAATCCAGCTTTGCTCATTTGTTTACATACTGTCTTTGTTGCTTTTGTGCCACAGTGGCAGAGATGAAGAGTTGCAATAGAGATCCTACGGCCTGCAAAGGTAAAAATAATAATTATCTTGTTCTTTACAAAAAAAGTTTGCCAACTCCTTTCTTGAGCACTGATCAAAAAGAGTAGTTGTGACAAATAAATACCTTATCTAATCCAAGAGCTTCATTAGAGAAGGAGTTCTTCAGTGCCCTCCCACCAAAGACAAAAAACATTTCTGTAGTCAAGAAAGTCAGATTTATCGGCTCATTGCTCCAAGGGAAATAAAAACCATGGGGAACTACTAGGGGTTTCAGAAAGAGACTGTTAGGAGGGATTTGTTACCGTATTTGTGCTTTTTTTTTTTTTTTAGGTAATTTGGGGGAGTGTTTAAAACAGTGTAGTTTTGCTCTGCACTGTGTGCTGCCACAAAGTGGGAAAAATTATATAATCCTTAGTAATTTTTGTCTATATAGCAGAGAAATGGAGCAGAGTTAAACCATAGGTAAAGAAGCAGCCGTCACTCAAATTAGCTGAGTGAGGGAGATATTTGATCATTGCTGTAGTTTGAACAGTGTCCTTGTTTTTGTCTGTGGAGTGATATTGTTTTGTCTTGCTCCACTGTGGTCACAGAATGAGTGATCTTGTCTGATATTGGGTTCTGTGAAGTTATGTTCCACAAGAGAGCATCACAGTCCAGATGTTACTGCCAGGCTAGCTTAGCTGACAGTAGTTGAAGACTGATTTTCCTCTCTCTCACAGTGTCATACTCTCTGCCTTTGGCTACCGTTCTCCACTTTCTTCACCTCTGCCCTCGTTTTCCCACAGACCAATGGGTCACTTGATTTAGCAAACTGGATAAATTTAGAGTAATATCCCAACAGAGGCTCAAGTAGATGGACTTAACACATGGCTATCCCTTCACTTAAATTAGGGAGGAAGCTTCACTATAGCCCTTAGAAAGAGTAGGAACTTTGGAAGCATATAGATCTGAGTTTAATTCCAAGTTCCACCATTTTAAATTATGAAAAATCTCAGAATCAAAGCCCTAATTTTCTTATATGTAAAACAATAAAGTTTTTATAAAAATTACATAACATTATGTTTGTAGAAACACAAAGTAGAGTATTTGTCACATAGGAAAGTTTCAACAAATGATAGCTATTACTAATAACAAACAATGACAGACATTCCTGTATCAAATATTTCATTTTAATGAACATGAATCATACACTGCCAATAAATATGATATTGTTAATTCATGGAGGACAAGTTTATCTTTTTATGTGGTAGACTATTCAGTAACCTAGAAAAACATTGTACATTAGCTTATGGTGCATGCTCTATTGTCATGAAAATAAATTATCTTCAAATGGCTATCAACTCTTTGACTATTGAAATGATTAGTTATCTGTTTTTATATTCTTATCAGTTATTTTTGTTTCTTCTTTCTTCTTATAAGAAGAAACAAACTATGAGTATGTTTGATACTCATAGTCTATGGCTACTTTTATCAGATGGTTGAATTTTTTATCTAATTACCAAATCTGAACAAATAGAGAACTTGATTTGTTCTTTCCAAAAAGTCTCTATAGTAACATATTGACAAGAAGAAACATATTATCAGACTATTTGGCTCCTACTTTGTAGCTTATGTTGTCATATTGAAAAATGATAGAAAAATAAAATCACAATCTTTAAAAAATTATAGGACAAAGAAGAGCTAATCTTGACTGGAAGCTGCAGAAATCAGGTAGATTGAGCCAACATAAGAGGTGTACTGTGAGCCATCTGGTTCCCACTGAATTGTTCTTAGAGCTAGCAAATATGTTATAAGCCATTAAAATCTCTTTAGTTGGCCATACATAAATTACAACCCTAATTAGTTGGTTCAGTTTTGATATGGGTGGTTTATGAGGCATCAGAAAGAAAAAAAAACCCAGCTCCTGCCTGACTTCAGAATGAGTTCATATTAGAATACTGGCAGCAGGGCAAATATCTCAATTACACATTCTGGTAATATCAGAAGAATATGGCATAAATTCCATATGGTGTATGAGTAGGCCAAGGAGTTTATGGTGGCATTAGAACACGTGGAAACCCAGAGGTCTGTGACAGTCCTACTGGAGTCCTGGTACTTTACCAAGTGCTCAATGACAGATGGAGTGTAAAATAAATATTGCTTGTGTATTTTTCTTAATGATTTGACATAGGGTATGGTTACTATCTTTTTAACACAATGAAATATGGCTAAGAGTTGAAAAAATAAAATGTAAAACATGCTTATAAATATCTATTCAAGTTCAGAGAGGTTACAGGACACACATTTTTAATGGCTTAAAATTTAGGGTAGAAAGGAGCATCATTCTAGAAATGTGACATTTCTAAAATAATAAATGAGAAAGAAAATAATTTTATTTTCCCCCAAAATAGCACTTGTGTTAAATTCCAGGGTTTAAGATTGAAAAAGCAAATTTCCTCATGTAAGGCTCATAGTTGATGGCAGAGACATAACTAAACAGACACAAATGTTTGTGAGAATACTAAGACTGAACTATATATAAGGCAGGACAGAAACATAGAAAAGGCAGTGATAATTTGTGAAAGACTTGTCAGAAAAGTGGATTCTATTGGGACCTCAGCAAAATCCCCTTTACCAGCTGGTCCACGCAAGTCCTGCCTGTTGTAAGTACTGATTGATGACAATTTTTAACTCCCCCTTCTCTGGAGACTTATCTTTGTCAACTGGCAAGCTGCCTCCGTGGTACACTCTCTATTTTCCCTGTAGGGGAGAAACGATTTCTTTTTTCTCACAGATTCTTTGGCTTATGGTTGAGGCTCTTACAACAAAAGGCAGATTAACAAGAGAAAAGCATTCAAGATCATTTAATAAGTTTATGTGACATAGGAGTCTTCAGAAATGAATACCCAAAGTAACAGAAACCTATGTATAAGTTTGATGAAGATGTGGATAGTTGCAAGAAGTATTATTGGAGAAAAAGGTGTACAATCAAACTGTGGTGAACTGAGACCATCCTTCTCTGTGTCCTTGTGTCTTCAGAGATAAAGATACTCCTTTTCTCCAGGTCGAGGGATGGTACCTCTTGAATGAGGGTCTTATGACTTGCTTCAGAGGGAGTTCAGAAAAGTCCTTTATAGGTCTTAAGGCCTGGTTCAAGGGGCAGGGGCAGGGGCAGGAGCAGGAGAAGGTCAGAGAGTGACCTTCTGGCTTCTGCCATTTGCTTAAATGCCAAGGAGCTGTATTTTATGGTAGCATGTCCTGAACCCATCACTTTTTGGATCTTGCTCAATAACTGGCTGGCACTAGTAAAAGACCAATTCCTCTTCCCTCAAGGTGAGATGCACTCTGGGGCACAATTCATCTTTCAGACATTCCCCAAGAGATCAGATGGAAGCTGCTCTTCAGCTGCTACTACATTCTTGATTAGCTCTTTCTGCTTCTGACACATTCTGCTTCCCTACTCCTCTTGAGCACTCCCTCAATAATTCCTTTGAACAAGAATTCTTACCCAAGTGCTTTTTCTAAGGGATCCCACCTAAGACAATAGCTTTTTTGTGTGTTCCAACAGACTCACCTAAGCGTTAAGATACGAGCTTCTTTCAACCTAAATTCAGTTACAGTGACTAAAATATTTTTTTCCATCAACATTTTTTCCTTCATCTCAATGAAGGTAAATAATGCTTAGACTACAGTGCATTAAAAGTCACTCATTTCTTGAATATACACTTGGTCCTTTCTTTCCTGGAGGATCTCTGTGCTACTTAGTTCTTTGTACATAATTTGCCTTTTTGGCCTAGGCTTCTAAATCTAAAGTAGATGGTATCTCTTTTATGTTCATGAGATCAAGCCTACTCTTATCTAAAAGGCTTCCCTTCTTATATGGGAGCTCTTGATCTTTATGACATTAAGTAATTAAATATCATCATCATAGACTACACTGTACTTTCGGTGTAGTCTAAAGCTCTGAATTAATAATCTGAGTTCTGCTGATATGCCCAAGAGCTACTCTGACCAACATGTTGCCATTTTGTTCCCATTCCCCTACCTTTCCATTACCCTTTTGAAGGAGAGAAGACACCTTAACAATAATCTAATCTCATCTCTTCTCCAGATGCTTGAATTCACAGTTGAATATCTTGACCTAGTTTTTCAAAATTATGTTTGAACGTTATGGGGTCAAGAAACTCACTCAGTGAAGTTCTTCTCTTCATCCTAAAATTCTAGAATAGTTTAAAATAGAGAATGTCAGAGACAGACAAATCTAGGTTCTTTGGTTCATGTGCAAAGGACGTTGAAGATCAGAGATGAGAAATTACTTAAGTGTCGTATAGACTCTAATAATTTTTTCATATGGTGCCACCAGGTCATCTTTCCATGGATTTCCAGCTTTCTGTCCTTGATATTTCCTGCTCAAAAATTATGTCCTGCTCAAAAATTAAAACAAAAACAAGCACAAAAAATACTGACAAATTCACTGTAGCAGATGACAAGCTGGAAACTTTTTAGTAAAGTCCATTAATGGTAGAAACTCTTTTGACAGTACTCGTCAACTTTGGCTGTGAAAATTAAGACTATGTGCCAGATTTATTAGGAATTCTCTCCATGTTGTGAAGTTTCACTGCTCTTTGACTGTAAAAGACTTAATTAATCCTTAACATGCCTTACCTGATATTTCACAAAGTAGCCAGAAAAAATTATCTCGGAACTTAGGTTCTAATTTGTATCCCATGCTATTTCTCAGGAAAATCTAGTCCAACTTGTAAATCTTAGAGTTTTAAGGTCAAATTCAGAGTTTCTGTTCTCCTGTAATGTGGCTAGCCAAGGAAATAGTATCCTAAGATATTTAATATTTTTAATGCACAGATTTTTGAAATGCATTTATTAATTTATTCAACAAATATTAATGAGTACTTACTGGATATCAGGCATTATGCTGAATCCCAGGGTTTACCAATAAAAGTGCTCCCCATTTAGTGGGAAGACTGACAAATAAATAGTTACATGTCGGCTTTCATGAAGGTACATACAGGGGTTCCAGGCACTTCTGCCTCAAGACAATCCTTGGCACTGAGTGGGATATGTGTATAATTGAGTGGCAGATTAAAAAAAAAATTGCAGTAACAGTATCCTAAATAAAAGGGGGAAATCATTAAGGTTGCCTGAGTGGGTTTCACAGAGGATGGGACACTTGAACCAAGTCTCCAAAAAATGACAGGAATATACCAAGCATACCTTACAGTACTCCAGGCTGGGAGTGGCATGCAGATAGATTTGGAGTTGTAAAACATCTATGTGGAGTTCGTATGTTCTTCCCATGTCTGGGTGGGTTTTCTCTTGGTATTCTGGCTGATTATTTCTGATATCTCAGAACTGTGCACATTAAGTGAATTGTCTAAATTGTTTCAATCTGAGTGAGCGTGGATATGTGAAACAGTGTGCCCTGCAATAAAATGTCCCATCCAGGATTGGTGCCTGCTTTGTACCCTGAGCTGCTGGGTTAGGCTCTGAACAGCCAAGACCCTGAACTGAAATCAGTGAGTTGGGAAATGAATAAATGAATGAGCACAAATTATTGCCAAATAAAAATTTGTAAAGTATAAAACACTCATACAAATGTATGACAATAAATGATGCAGTCCCAAAGTGGTCAGTGAGCCCATCATATGTTATTGTTTGGTTTTGAACTTCATGGTGGCAGGAGGGTGCTCCTCACAATTTTTGCTTTGCAAATGTTTATTTCTTGGCCTAACCCACCATCCCCATGACCACAATCACTCACTGATTCACCAAAAATTGAGTAAATAATTCTTGTTTTTATCAATATATTATAAATGTATGTATAGATGTTTGTATGGCTCACATTTAGTTCAGTGTATAATATTAGAAGTGTTTGGCTTTTATTTAGAAGTTTGGTGATATTTTTATGACTAGAAATATGCCGTAGGAGCTTAACTGTTGTTTATGTCAATTAGCTTATGCTAAAATTAGTTTCCTTATATGCCATTTTGCTTAAACTAAGTTTGCAAGAACAAAATGATGACATTGAGGACAACTTATTGTGTGTATATATATATATATATATATATATATATATATATAATACGTATCATAGGAGGCAGGGCCAAGATGGCTGATGAGAAATAGCGGCATTAAGAGACTCCCATTAAATAAAACTGTAATAAGCAATGTGAAGCCTTCACTGGCAACCGCAGTATCCAGGTTCTCTCATCAGTAGGAGGCTGAGATAAATAATGAAATTAAGGCAGAAATAAAAAAGTTCTTTGAACTAATGAGAACAAAGAGATGATGTAACAGAATCTCTGGGACACAGCAAAAGCAGTGTTAAGAGGGAAATTTATAGTGCTAAATACCTATATCAGAAAGCTATAAATATCTAAAATCAACACCCTAAAATCACAATTAAAAGAGCTAAAGAGGCAACAGCAAACTAATCCAAAAGCTAGCAGAAGACAAGAAATAACATTAGAGAAGAATTAAAGGAGATAGAGACACAAAAAACCCTCCAAAGAGCCAATGAATCCAGGAGCTAGTTTTTTGAAAATAAACAAAACAGATAGACTTCTAGCTAGACTAGTAAAGAAGATAAGGGAGAAAACTCAAATAGATACAATAAAAAATGATAAAGGAGATATCACCATTGACCCCACAGAAATACAAACTACCATCAAAGAATAGCATAAATGCCTCTGTGCAAATAAACTAGAAAATCTAGAAGAAATGGATAAATTGTTGGACACATTATACCCTCCCAAGACTAAATGAGGAAGAAGTTGAATTCCTGAATAGATCAGTAACAAGTTCAGAAATTGAGGCAGTAATTAATAGCCTACTAACCAAAAAGAAAAGCCTAGGACCAAATGAATTCACAGCTGAATTCTACTGGAAATA